GAAGGAAGGAAGGAAGGAAGGAAGGAAAGAAGGAAGGGTAAGTGAAAGATTTAGGAATTACTCCTTATCCATAAACTAAGATTATATTTCTTTCCCAGCACCCTGCCCTTGTATCTCATTGTCATAGAGTTTATTCACCAGGTTTGTCTCTACTCCTAGGGAGTTGGAGGAGACGTATTTATTATTTATTTACTGTGCTAAAAAGTAGCAGAGTGGGCTTAGATGGTCCAGCCCTGCACAGAGAGGGCAGTCAGTAAATGTGCAATGACTCGTGCCTGGGAAAAAAGCAGCCAGGCATGCAGCGAATCTGGTGTGCTCTGAGACAGTGTATCTGTCACAGGCCTTCTCTAGATAATACTTGATATTTTCGCCACATTGGCCACAAAGTGTTGCGCATTTCCTCATTATCCATATCCCACATCCTGTTGGCCAAATAAAGTGTTTCAGGTAGAATACGTCCTGAGCAATTTTTTTTTTTTTTTAGAATTACCTTTAAAGAGAAGGGAATACTGCATAATACTGTGATACACCCTAAACAATTGAGTCTGCGAGACTTTGACAGCAGCAGGGGGCTTGGAGGAAGGGGGGGCAGGAAGGCTGGGGCAGCAGAGTTTGGCAGTAGCTCTTTGACAAGTACAGACCATATCAGTATTTTACCAACTAGTATGGCTTTATCAACAGTTGTACTTACATACCCAACAAATATGTCTTTTTGCTTGTTTTATTTTAGGTTGCTCCACTATGCCTAGGAAGAGCTGGGGCTTGCGTTGTAACTGTCAAATTATAATATAGTGCTTGTTTTCTAAATGAAGATTTCGTCTTCCTCATGAATTTAGTAAAATTATTCTCCTACCAATGGATACGTTTTTAGCCACTTTGCAATGCCGCATTCCTGGGCACGGAGTGCCCAATCTCAAAGCGAAGCTGGTAAAACAAGGGAGGAACGAGAGGATGACCCAGGATTAAATCCTACATTTCTCAGTAAGTCATTTCTCAGCAAATCAAAACTACAGCTGGTGGACTGTGAGCATATGTTCCTGATATAACATGTGAGGACAAAGGCACTGCTCCTCAACCCACCCCAGTGTTAGCTGGGAATGTCATCTATTAATAATCAATCACATTTTACTCACTTTATCCAGATTTCTTTTACTACAGTGCACATATGCCAGATAACACTTTGAACGTTTGCTTTGTAACTTTATCGTACATTAGTTGCCGTAATTTTTATCCATTTGTTCGTTTAACCACAACCACTGCTTTAATGACATACTAAACACTATGCTGATATTCAGTTCTTTTCAGAAATAGCTGCATTATATATGCTTTGCTTGTGGATTTTCTTTCTCAGTTAGCTTAGTCTCATGAATAAAGAAAAATGAGAGTTAAAACAATAATGACCAAATGAAAACAAAATGATCTTTGGGATCTTTTAAAATATTCATCCTATTATATTTAGATTCACTAAGAGCTACGTGTTATGATATTCTCAAATTGGAACTGAAACATGGTGTTTTGCATTAAATTTAAGATATGCAAAATTATGGGGGCGCCTGGGTGGCCCAGATGGTTGAGTGTCTGCCTTCGGCTCAGGTCATGATCCCAGGGTCCTGGGATCGAGCCCCGCATCGGGCTCCTGGCTCGGCGGGGAGTCTGCTTCTCCCTCTCCCTCTGCCTCTCCTCCTGTTCATGCTCTCTCTCTCTCTCTCTCTGTATCTCTGTGTCTCAAACTCTGCGTCTCAAATGAATGAATAAAATATTTAAAAAAATAAAAGATATGCAAATTTATGTGGAGGAAATAAATGTCATATGCCCTAAAATGTTCTTTCACCTAATATGGATTTGTTTTCTTTTATATTATAGAAGATGTTTTGATTTTGATATTGACAAAACTGTTTGGATATTCTTAGGTTCTTAAGTCTGGATTTGCCTCCCTTGCTTTGTTTCTCACATTTTGCTGCAGTTAGTAACCCTTTGTGCTTCTTTGTAATCAGATAGTTTGAGGGGAATGGGATTATTGAATGTTTGAAAAATAAGTTTAAAGTGTTTATTACCCAAAGTTTTGTACATTTGTAAACTCCAATTACACATGTGAATGTTAATACTCTCAGTGAATTGTTTATTGTCAGCAAAAATGCACTGGGCAGTAACATTTTATGATAAATCCTTTAAGATATAAAAGTCATTAATTTATGTCTTAATATAAAAATGAGTATAAACTAAATTCCCATCTTTTAAAATACAAAACTGTGGTTAATGTGCTTTTAATTTTATATCAAGGTAGACTTCATTTTAGTTGCTTTCTTTAAAAAATTAAACCAACTCTTTTTTTGGTGGGGGGGGCGGGTGCTGGGGGACGGAGCCAATTTTGCATGCTCTTGAAATGTTTCTACCCTGGAAACCAAGAAACTGAATACTTCCATTCCCAAAGCAAATCTTGTGGTCATCTTATTGGTGTGGCCACAAAGAAAATATTAGTGATAGTGAAAAATACGTTAATGTTTTCTATATTCATTATATTATAGATATAAATTCAATTATTTTCATGACAAGGAGGGATCAGCCTTAGAGTATATTTATGTATTTAGGGGAAGAGAGAGGAAAAGTTACAGGAAACAAAAAAAACTTCAAAAGCAGAAATGTGTTAGCACATCATCACCTTCTGGGGGAGGCTCGGGCCTGTGATTTGAAAGGAATTTATACTTGCACAAGTACAAGGATTTATACTTGTGATTATTCCTTTGAACACTCACCAGCCACTCTCTGAGGACCTTCCTTTCCTTTATGGGATTCATGAACAGTGCCTTTGATTTTTCTACCTTGATAGAGGACCTTTTTAATGCAGTTTTGTACAGTTGACACTTGAACAACACAGGGGTTAGGGGTCCAACTCCCTGCACAGCAAAAAATCTGCATATAATTTTTGACTCCCTCGAAACTTAACCACTGATAGCCTACTATTGACCAGAAGCCTTACCAATAATGTAAACAGTGGATTAACACATATTTTGTATATTGTATGTATTCCTACAATAAAGTAAGCTACAGAAAAGAAAATGTTATTTAAAAAATCATAAGGAAGAGAAAATATATGTACAGTACTGCACTGTATTTATCGAAAAAAGTCCTCATCTAAGTGGACCCATACTGTTCAAACCCGTATTGTTCAAAGGTCAACTGTGGTCAAGAGGACCTGCTTTCCTGAATACTAATAAAGAGAACCAATTCTTCCTAGTGACAGAACGCTCGCCAAAACATTCATTCTTCTTGTCTGGGGTCTTATAACTGGAGGAAAATATGACTCTTCCTGGTATCCATCATCCAACATGGCTGCCTTGACTTCTACTTGCTTGTTCATTGATGATGATATCTAGATGCTCTTTATTTTAACCTCAATTAGTGATACCTTATAAAAATAATATTTGTTAGTAATTATTGAATGCTTATTATGAATTAAGAACCAAGTCTTTTGCACGCATTAATGCACTTAATCCTCAAAACAACCTTATGAGTTAGGTTCCATTATTATTCTCATTTTTACAGATGAGGAGACTGGGGCACAGAGAAGTTAACCCCAAGATCATATATAGCAAGTAAGTGGTAGGACAGGAATTTGAATGCAGGCACTCTGCACTTGAGAGTCCATACTCTTATTTCTTTCTAGGTAGAAAAAGAGAGGTTTCATTTTAATAAATGAGGAATCATTTATTTTAATAAAAAGAAAATGAAGAAGGTTTATGCTTTTTGGAAGTAAAATTTATACCAGTCATACCCCTCTCAGAAAATTTTGGTTCTTTAGTCTCATTGGGGAAATTTTGTTTAAATCTCTTATAGAATTTTACATACAAATTCGCTTTAGAAAAGTAAATGCAAGAAAACACGATATATACTTCACATTTTATAAATATTAGATAAATTGCATGGTATTTTGGATGACTAAACTATAAACAGATTTACCAAAAAGGCTTTATTGCCAAAAAAAAATTAGTTGACGTAGATGAAATGGACAAATTCCTAGAAACGCACAAATTACCAAAACTGACTCAAGAAGGAATAAAAAATCTGAACAGACCTATAACAACTAAAGAGATTGAATCAATAATCAAGAACTCCCAGCAAAGAAAGTACGGTGGCAGGTGGGTTCACTGGTGAATTCTGCCAACCATTTAAAGAGAAATTAATACCAATTCTTCTTAAACTCTTCCAAAAAAAAAAAAAATAGGAGAAACACATTCTAATTTATTCAATAAGGCCAGCATTATCTTGATACCAAAGCCAGACACAGACAGACTGTACACTATGACAAAGTAATAGTTATTGCAAGAATATGGGGATGTTTCAACATATGAAAATCAGTCAATATAACATACCACATTAATAGCATGAAGGGAGCAGCATTGTCCTAGTTGGACAATGACATGAAAACAAAGGACGATGACATGAAAATAAAGCTATTTGTTATTAAAAAAAAAATTGAATGAAGGGGGAATGAACAACATGATCATCTCAATTGATAAGAAAAAGCATTTGATAAAATCCAACACCTTTTCATGGTAAAAAAAAAAAAAAATCCACAAACTAGGGAGAATTGGAATTTCCTCAAACTGTAAAAAGGCATTCATGAAAAACCCATGTTAACAACATACTAAATGGTAAAAGATTGAAAACTATCTCCTTAAGATCAAGAAAATCCCCACTCTCACCACTGCTAGTCAGCATTGCCCCAGAAGTTCTAGCAAGAACAATTAGGCTATTTAAAAAGATATAAAAGGAATCCTGATTATAAAGGAAGAAGTAAGGCTACTCTATTTGCAGCTGACATGATTCTATATATTAAAAATTCTAAAGAATACACACATACATACACACACACAAAACAAAACGAGTTGCAAATAAATCCAGAAATGTTGCAGGATACAAGATCAACACAGAAATGTCAAGTGATTTCTATACATTGGCAAAAAAAAAAAAAAAAAAATCCAAGAAGGAAATTTTAAAAACAATTCTATTTATAGTAGCATCACAAAGAATAAAATACTTAGTAATAAACTTAACCAAGGAAGTGCATGGCTTGCACACTGAAAAATACAAAGCATTGATAAAATAAAAATCTAAATAAATGGAAAGACATCCCGCATTCATGGATCAGAAGACTTATTGTTAAGATGGCAGTAGTCTCCAAATTAGTCTATAGATTCAATGCAATCCCTATCAAAATCCCAATGGTTCTGTTTTGCAGAAATGGAAAAGCTCATCCTAAAATTCATATGGGATTAGAAGTCACCCAAAAGAGCCAAAACAATCTTTAAAAAGAACAAAGTTAAAGGACTCACATTTCCTGATTTCAAAATATATTACAAAGCTACAGTAATCAAAATAGTGTAGTACTGGTATAAGGATAAGTACATAGACCAGTAGCATGAAATACAAAGTCCAGAAATGAACTATGGTCAACTGATTTTTAACAAGGGTGCCAAGACCATTCAATAGAGAAAGAACAGTCTCTTCACCAAATGGTGCTGAAACAACAATTTATACAATATTCATGTGGAAAAGAATGAAATGGGACATTTAATTCACAAATGTATAAATATTAACTCAAAATAAATCAAAGATCTGAATATAAGAACTATAAACCATAAACCTCTAAGAAGAAAACATAGGTATAAATCTTCATGACCTTGGATTTGGCAATGGTTTCATTTATATGACATCAAAACACAAGGCAACAAAAGATAGATAAACTGGACTTCCTCAAAATTAAAAGCTTCTATGCATCACAGGACACTGTCAAGAAAGTGAAAAGACAGCCCATAGAATGTGAGAAAATATTTGCAAATCATATAAAAGTCTATCCAGAATATATAAGGAACTCCTACATTCAACAACAAAAAGATAAACAACCTATTTAAAAATGGACAAAGGACTTAAATAGACATTTCTCCAATAAAGGTATAAAATGGTCAACAATCACATGAATAGATGCTCAACATCATTAGTCATTAGGGAAGTGTAATCAAAACCATTTCAAATCCACTAGGATGACTATAATTTTAAAAACAGAAAAAAGTGTTGGAGAGGATGTGGGGAAATTGGAACCTTCATACATTGCTGGTAGGATGGTTAAATGGTATAGGTATAGTGGAAAACAGTTTGGTGGTTCCTCAATAAATTAAACATAGAATTACCATGTGACCAAGCAATTCCACCCCTGGGTATATATCCCCCCCACCAAAATAAACCCTAAGAACAGGTGTTCAAACAAAAATTTGCATACAAATATTCATAGCAACATTATTCATAGTAGCCAAAAGATAGAAACAACCCAAATATCCATCAGCTGATGAATAGATAAACAAATTGTGGTACATAATATAATAGAATATTTTTCAGTCATAAAAAGA